GTATGCGTCTTGGATGCCAGAACTGGATCGGTGCGATGAGTTCAGCAGCATCCCAATCAACTTTGTGGTCGTTGATGTGGGAATGTTTGACAATCGCCGATTTGTCAAAATCTCCTCGCCGTCCATGTGCTCTGTGTTCCTTGAGCCTGGTGGGAAGGTTCCGACCCGTTTCCCCGATGTAGACTTTGCCGCATTCACATGGAATGCGGTAGACTCTCGGCTTGGAAGAGGAGTCCTGCTTGTCCTTGTGAGTGTGGAGGCTGCCTTGGAGCTTGTTGCCTGATGAGTGGTACACCTTGACGCCGGCTTGTCGGAGGATGCGTTGGAGATGATGAGAAGCTGGACCTATGTATGGAAGAGTGACTGAGGGAGATACATTGGAAGGACCTTGGGTAGAGGAGACCCGTTGGTCAGGTTTGCTGATCTTGATGCGGTTGGATTTGTAGCCATTCCGTTGTAGTGACGCCTGGATGTGCTCGAGTTCACGCTTGAGGTTGTCTCGGTCGCAGACATCAAAGGCTCGCTGTACTAGGGTCCGGTTGACTGATGACTTGATGCTGGGGTGATGAAACAACCGTTCTTGATTATCAAGTTCTTGATTATCGAGCTTTACAAAAATGTACTTCTATTTTTTTATGAATATTTCTTATTTACATGACATCTTTTCTCCTATTGAATGGAGTTCTTGATTATCAAGCTTTACAAAAATGTACTTCTATTTTTATGCCCCGCGGCGAAGCCGAAGGGGCATACTGTTTCCGCCTTGTCCTTCCGTGGGTGGGTGTGTGGGTGTGTGTGTCCGGACAAATCTTGTCTGCGCGATAACTTGAGAAATACTTAACATATGAACTTCAAATTTGGTCTGTGTATTGTTCTTGGTAATCCTAAGAAGCCTATTGCATTTGGGGCCGAAAGGTCAAGGGTCAAGGTCACAGTGGCTGAAACAATAGAAATTTTGTCAGCGCGATAACTTGAGAAATACTTTACATATGAACTTCAAATTTGGTTTGTGTATTGTTCTTGGTAATCCTAAGAAGCCTATTGCATTTGGGGCCGAAAGGTCAAGGGTCAAGGTCACAGTGGCTGAAACAATAGAAATTTTGTATTCTGAGATCATAGGGATTAGGGATTAATTCATATAAAACCTACAGAAGACACTAATGCTGTCAATTAATGAACGTTCCATGTGACCAAGGTACATGTAAGTTGATGTTAAAAGAGTGGTGTTATGTCATGGGAACAGTCACGGTTGCGGGGCATTTGTGTTTGTAAACACACCTGACTTGTTTTATGAATATTTCTTATTTACATGACATCTTTTCTCCTGATTGAAGTTTTTGGTTTCGTACACTAAACAAAACACATAAGGGTGTCCGAGTGATCTTGCAACAGTTTGTAGATCTATGTGTTTGTGTAAGGTACATTGTACATGTAGTAGTAGATGATTGACCGTATGAGACCATGACCAATAATATCCTTCCTGTAGGGGCCTAGGATTGTCTGAATCACCCCAGGGGATCTCAGCAGGCTCAAATGAACAAACATTGGCTAACCTCTAATCATTGACTACACTACAGATACATGTATACTTCAACCCAATTATGGAGCCAATTAGAAATACTCCATGCCTTTGTTTTTTCTGTAAATATGGAACATTCAGGCCGAACAGTTCAGTGAAGGTTTCACATACTGGTATAATATACATCACTGTACACAAAGCAATTTGGAGGTATGCTTGTAAGCTACTGGGTACATGCACATGTATTTCTTCATTAGTCAATTCTGAAAAAGAAATCAAATGACATAGGTACCATCACATCACCTTTTTAAACCTCCTTTCAGAGCCACTTCCAAAAAGTTTTAGAAATTGGATCTGCTAAAGCCGTAAAAGCTTGGCAATTCCAGCATTATAAAAGGAAGTTTAATGTCCTTGACATAGCCAATTAACCATGATATCTAATTAGTGATTCAGAGAAATGATCCAAAACTCCTAGTCTGTAATCTCCTGGACCATTACTAGATGATGAATATATAAGATTTGAAAAAAAAATACATTTTCAGGTTTATTCACTCTAGCTCTTAACAGCTCTGTCACGGACATTACATAATGCTGGAATTGCCCCTGTCAGTCTTTTATACTAACTTGGTTTACTTTAGGATATCTTTTAGTTAACCTTTTGATTTAATTCCCAATAACACACAAACAAGCGTGAGTGCACAATAAGCTCTGGCCCGGTTCCGCAATGTCTCACTTCATGTGCAAAATAGAGGCGCATGCGCATCGATCTAGACGAAGGGGTGTGTACCGAAAACTTTCGCCCAGAGTGCATTTACTGACGAAGGCATTGCATTTGGTCAATTGGTAGTTATATTTTATGGGAAACTTAAAGGGCTTGTTTTTGGTCAATTTTCCGGGGACAGACCTAACGACTGACTGACCGACAAACCGACCAACCACAAAGTGACATGTAGAAGCTCCTGCCAGAGCTTAAAAACTCACACAGAGAATACTTTTTTATTTTCAAAATAAACTTATTTTAAATTTTTGGCCAAATGTGACAATCGAACGTTTGAGGTCGGAAATTTGGCAACAAAAAACCCAGGCAGGATGGGTTACCATAAACACACAATTTTTTCTTGGCCTTAATAACTTCTTGATGTTAACACTTAACTCTTGAGGTTAACACTTAGCTTTCCTTCGTCAAGTGACAATGTTAAAAGTGACACAGAGAGAGGGCTGTTCATTTGGAATAATTTAGCATTCAATTATTCGAAATTGCGTTTGACCGAATATTCGGATATTTGAAACTGCCTGCTGTAACTGCATGCTGCGCCAGTAAAAAGATGCATGGATAGCGCGCCAGTTAAAATTTGCATGCAGCAATCGATGTGGGGCACTGGAGTGTTCTGCAGTAAGTATTTTATTACTGTAAAGGGCTTTAACCTGCTAAAAGGAAGTAAACAATGATTCACCATTGTTGACAAAAAAGGTAGAGTCGACATACAAGTGGCACCTGACAATAAAGCTCAGCAACTTTTCAATAAAATAACATCACATTCGTGTGTACAATGTATGTGTGTAGTTTGTTGTGTTTTGGAATATTCAAACTGGCAAAAAGCTATCATAATATTCGCTTGATGATCAATTTGAATATTCGACATATTTTTTATTCGCGAGAGCTCTACACAGGGAATCTGTATTTTTGAGCTGCACTGATTTTTTTTGCGAATAACAATGTTGAGAATCTCACCAGAGACGCAGAAAAAACTCACAATAACACACCATAAGACACACAGCCAGACTTGTAGTGGACATTGATAAAGTAATAGCAATTAGGGTACCAACAAATATGATTTTGTAACCTAGTCTTACTATCAATAATTTGGTTGCCTTAGTCTCAGGGCACAGACAGGCAGAGAAGGAGGCCTAAATGTATTTGTTCAAGCAAAGCTGTGCAAATGATGTTGTCATGAACAGCATTTTCACTTTTATCTTTTTCTGTGCGTCTGTATGAGACTTCAGAACAGGACAGTGCACACTTGGACAAGGCTCTTTGACAAGATAATATTTCATTGCATAGCGCAGTTGCATTGTACATTCTATTGACTGATTTAAAGGGGACTAATAGTCATACTGCTTTGAAGTTAAGCATGTTTTGGCTTTATTATTGACACCAACTACATGTACATTTCCTCGTGGATTAAATGTGCTGTACATTTTGTTATCGTGGCTGGTACACATAAGTACTGTGCATTCTCTCAACCAAACCTTGATATTTAGCTGTGGTAATTTCTTGAATACAATCATACATACATTTTGAGTGAGCATGAGGATAATGATCAATATTTTATTATTTCATTCAAATAAGTCTTTTACATGTAAAAATCAAATAACTGACAAGGTATTACAAAACATGTAAAAGTAGAGTTCTTTGTCTTTTGGGCAGAAAATACATGTTAAGAAATTCAGTTAAGACTCTGGTTACATGTATTTCTGTATGTTTGGTATTTGGACAGATCATTATTACAATGCTACTTAAACAGAATTACTGATTGCAAAGATAAAGAGTTAATTGATTAGACTAAAAGTATGAAGTAGCGGTATGTACATGTTTCACTTGGACAAAATCTGCTCATAATATCATGGATAATGTATATATATTCGGGTATATAAATTCACAATTCACAAAGTAACAGAAACAAGAGTGCTTTTTTCTGATAATGGCCATTAGGAGAGTGTTTGGCAGTGACATTTGGAAGTATTGATTGCCATCATCTTTTTGCCATGATGTCATGACCATGCACAGAGCAGGCCCAATCGCCTCCTTCATCTGCCAAGATCTTGTTACATGCTCCACCACTGACACTTCTGGAGGATGAGATTTAATAACAAGCCAGCTAGCAGCGCTGTTGAGGGCTGCTAGTGCATGGCTATATTAATCCAAGCAGTTTTGAATTACATCTGTGAGGCTGTGGATTTGTAGCCATTGTACAATCTGCCAAAGACTTGCTAGCAGTCTATTTAATATGTTGATGGTGCACTCTAGTTTGCTCCAAGTCATCAGCTACATTATTGATGGGAGATTGATCTCTTATATTAGTGTGTTCCTCAGGCTAGAGTGTGAAACCTTCGTTGACTGTGCATGGAAACAGTCTGTGTCTGCTGGAATTATGAAACAAGTATTGTAGAAATTCTTTACATGATCAGTCTCAACTGTTTTTCATAGGCATTGCTTTCTTTTCCCATTCACATTTGCTGAATAAAAATGCCTCTTTTTTAAGAACTGGTCCTTTGCCTAAACTGTCTGTGTACTTCATTTGGCCAAGTGTCATTCAACCAGTAGACCCATTCAAGAATATAACAGCTCACTGCTTTGCAGGGTCCCACCCTCAACACCTCGACTGCATATTCATGAGATGGAGCCCATTGGTTGTTTAACTGCATATTAAACATGGTGTTGTTCAAGCATGAGCTGTCAGATTACAGTAGGGAAGTTGAGCATGTTTAGTAAGGTTACAGTCTTTGTGTGTGTGTGTGTGTTGGCTAATACTACCGGTAAAAGTAACACTAACAGTGAAAAGTGACTGATGATGAATAGCTGTGGTGTGGATCTATGCATAGATGGTAGACCCTTAATCAACCATAGCATGGGTGTTATGCCAGGTACGTACAATGTATGTTTGGGACGGACGTTGAGCTAGCTTCTCAGATACTTATTGTACATGAACATGGACTGTACTGTACTAGTGTTACAATTTTTGTCATCTGGCATATAATTTAGACCAAATAAAACAAGTTATACAGTTACATGAAAACTTTCAACATCTCTTAGTATCAAATATTTGTAAAAGTAGTAGGCTCCAGTGCTGAAAATGCAAACTATCAATAACATTTGTCTGCTGCTTGATGGTGTGTGGAAATCTATTTTCATTGCAGCACAACATTTTCTAAATTGCTGATAATTTTCACAGTGTTATAGAAATTTATAAGTTCAATACCTACTAGTACATGTACATGGATCTGAAGAAAGACAAATGACGTCAGTTGCATTTACTTTAATATATGGCTTAAAATTCCATGTAATATGTGGCCATGGACCCATGCATACATACCGGTACAGTAAAAGGCAAACCATTACCGTTAGGCATTAAGGATCGACACTTCAACACTATTTCCATCACATGTCCATGCTGAAATGCAAAGAATGGAGAAATCTCCTAATAATTTATTGCGTGTGCATGTATGCATGTTTTAAAACAAGTTTTACACTCCAATCTGATTCCAAAGTGAACATTTTGGAGAAAAAAAGCAAAGCATGCGAGGAGACACTCCACAGCATTATTTTCATGGACATGTACATGGACATGTACATGTATACGCATGTACATGTACATGTACAACCCAAGTCAAGTACAACTACAGGTATGATGATGACGATGATCATCCCTCATGACTACCCGTAGGTAGTCAGTTTATTGATGCAAGAGGGTCTGCAGAATACCGAAGGTAAAAAGGTCTGGCTTTTATGTCCACAAACAAGTCATATTTCACAAGGGCCATGACATTAAATAATCAGGATACATGTTGATTTTGCAAACACGCTTGATCATTTATCAAATTTATAAAAACATCAGGCAATGCTTGTATCCAAATACTATTCATCTTAAAAATGCACCAGCAATGGCAAGAGAAACATTATGAACATGTAGAAGACGACTATAAATGAAAAAGAATGAGATGGTTTACTCCAATGAAGGTTGTTAAGTTATTAAACAACTGAGGATTACAAGTGAAGGTTAGTGAGGTTTAAAGCTGGCTGTTGTAAGTGGTGTTAGGGCTGTGCATCGGAACTCTGTAGGGTACCTGAGTACCGGACCGCTGATGTCAAGAACCGGTTCCTGATTTACAGATTGGGCACCCGTAAGCAACTTTACAATTACTTAGTAACTTTTCAGACAATCAAAAAGAATGGTTTCGAAAGTCATTTGGGAGAATTTTCAAAATGAAATCCAGGCTACATAGAAAAACAAAACAGATGTCACGTTTATGACACTCGCGAAAGTTGCAGTTTTCACAATAAAGCTATAAGTTCACTCTACACACATGAATTGCTGCATTGACGCACCGATGTGGTAGTATTATCATACCGACCTTTATGAAAAATCTGAACAGAAACTTCCGAGATGTGAATTTTGGAATTGGGTCTCTTTAGCGGGTACCCATGTTATTTTTCAATAGGGTATCCGTTTCCCGTACTACCGGTAAATGCAAACCCTTTAGTGGTATGCACAAAGCTTATTGTTATGTGCCATGGTATCACATGGTGAATTTTCATTGGATATGAATTGTTCTTGAAGTCATGTATTTTTGAGTGGCTCAGAAAGTTTAAATTCATTTATTTTTTAAGTGAGAACCTGACAGGTCTTGGCAAGGAAAAAGTGTGTTTTGTGCTATGTATGTTAATATAAAATTCACTAAAATTTATCACTACCATAGACTTTCCACTGAACTGTATACTATGTGGCATTTAATTAACCCCTAATAAAAGTTACGAAAAGTCACCAAATGCCAATCGGTCAAAGTGTTCCAGAGCTAATATTTTTTACACATGTACCCTAATAGTAATACTTAGTGATAGGGTTAAGTACAGGTAAAATGACCAGTTGGCTGCGTGCCAAAATACTCCTTCTCTCCTTACATGTACTTAAAAACCAAACGTAGGCTGAATGTATGATTAGGCCCTTTTTTGGCCTTAGTCATTTTACTAAGGGAATAAATGTGTGCTCCGGAGGTTTTTATCACTCTGTTTAATACCACTTAGAGTCTGGGTGCTGATAATTACCAGAGCCGGAGGCGAGGGTAATTATCAGCACCCAGACTCTAAGTGGTATTAAACAGAGTGATAAATACCGACGGAGTACATATTTATTCCCATTCATAAATACCTTTTCGGTAAAAAAAATCATATAATTCGTTCAAAACATCCCGATTTTGTTCAACAAATTCACTTTATGCTTTTTGAAACATCCCTCCTGCAAAATAATGGAGTGTTCAGCTGGCGAGTAAGATGAAAACAACCCTTTTATGGAGATTGACGCGCGCGTATCATGTTCTACGCGATGTCGCGCAGAACGCACCTGGCGCGTTGCGTTTTGAATTTAGAACTATAAAATTCTAACTCCCTGGTAGTGTTGCGCATGCCTACATGAGGATTGTGAACGTTCAACCAATGAAACGATAAGAGGCACTGGATTTTTAGCAGTCCACATTTTATTGTGACACTGGAAAAGTGTTTAAGACCAGCTAGCCATGTCTTTATCATCCGTTTAATACCGGCCACGTGACGGGCTCTCGACCAATAGGAAGGGCTAAACTGTCTGAGGTATTTATGAATACCTTTTCACATGCAAAATAAAAGTGTTATTGTGGGTCTTTGTTTTTAATGCAGAGAGAAACCATGGAACTACCCAATTGTTGTACGCCCGAGGGGTGCCATTTGCCCCAAGGCATACAAAACCCATGGATTTTATCAACAGACAACAATGGTTTTGTTATACCGTGGTTTTATTTTTTTAATAACTTGTTTGAGTATTTTAGAGGTAGGGCCTACATGTAGCAAAATGATAATTAAGATGTCAATTTTGTTAAAACAGGATGTATTTTTGTTTTGACACCCTGATGCATATAAATTTATCAGTCCAATGCTTATGCCGGGGATAAAATGGGTGTTTGCCTTGACACACGTAGGCAAACTGGAGAAAAAAACTTATTTTACTTGCACTGTGAATACTCTTTCAACCCAATTTCTGAGATACTGAATACAATTAAACTTCTGAACATGTTGACATGTCCACATGCCAGGCACATGTTCCTACAGAGTATTACAACTTGCTGTTAGTTCAGTTGGGATATTGTATCTTACCCAGTATCTCCTCCCATGCAAGATGCTCAGCCTGGCTAGTTACGGAAATCCTTTGATGCTAGTCATGATGAATACCAATTTCAATCATGAATTTATTAATTTTTGCTGCAGGTATTCATGTAGAAGGTCCTGGTAACACATGGAATAGTCAACAAAGTTCAAGTTTTGATTCAAGGGTAAGTCCTTTCACGTACAAATTTCTCTTTTATTTTTATATCTTCAAATGGATTCTTGCACTTTTTTATGGAGGATTTGTACAGTCAAATGGTGGTTGGAAAAAAACACCTTTTACTGGCCTTTTTATTTTATTTTTTTGCTTTTGTCATTGTTATTTATAAGAAATGTAATGATGTGCACGCATTGATGTAAAAATTGTCTTAAAAAGTTAAATTAGAAGAAAGCTAAAAGAAACTAATTACATCTCAATCTCAAAAACCAACCTTGGTCTTTCAGTCTCTTACCGGTATGTGCATCCATCCCCACATAACCGGCATGCTTATAATCAACACTGTACATTTACGCTATACATCTACAAGTCACCGGTATAGGAAGCGTCACTGAATTGGATTAATGCCATCATTTTCCTCAACCTTCCCCAACATTTTCACTGACATCCAACCCAATTAAACTTCTCACAAAGTCTATCAAATCTGCCCTGATTTCAAGAGGTGAACAGACTAGAAATGTTGAGGTTGCATCCGTTGGGTTTTAATTTTGTACATTGTTAGTAATATGGGGAAGAGTAATGTTAAGAGGTAAATTGTCAGATAACATAAACGGTAAATGGTTGAAGGCAGGGGTTTTCCTTAACTTTTTCCTTTACTGGCCGGCCGGGCCAGTAAACCAGAGTTTTCACTGGCCTGCAACCTTTTTCACTAGCCCACATGTTTTAATAGTAACTTTCAATCAAATCACCATAAGCATTTTTGATAACATTTTTGATAATTAATTATGCAATATGAATACAATCGGCAGTTATCTTAATCATGTACATAATATTGCATGTAGTTCCTTTTTAAGTGATGTCAATGTTTCTTTAATCGTCCATGCTTTAACATAGAGCAAGGCTTTAATTAACAGGAATCAAATAGGGGGAGAAGTTATAATCAAAATTTATGCAGTGTGCTTCGTTCCGAACTTAAGGCTTTAGGTGTTCTATTTCCGACATGTTTTGATAAAACACGAACTAAAAAAGCGTTATCTTGAGGAACAAGAAAACATTGCACACAGTCGTGGTATTAATGGGAGTTTACCAAGTTAGTAACTGAACTGTTTTAACTTGTTTGAAAATGAGTGAGAAGGCTAGTATTTTCAAAAAAACATCTCTCGCGCGCGCCATGCATTTCTAGCGAAGAATGGTGCAATCAGCGTGCCTAGCCAAGAAGCGCTGCGGGCGGGCGACCCACGAACTTACGCTGGTCACGTCAATCCATAACATTTTCCGGAGCACGGTCCACTTTACATTCACTAGTCTTTACATTCAAAATAGGCCCCTCGAATCTCATATTGTCCTCATCTTTTCGGTACATTCGTTTGATAGTGTTCAAGAAATCAGCCGAAGAATCCGTTCGGGGCACAAGTTTTGGCAGACTGTCATGAAAGTTTTCTCCTCACCACGTTGTATGATACGAATACGATGTTAACGTACATGTACGTACGTCCGTACCGTGTGGACTGCAGACGAAGTAAATCACATGCGCTGCATGTGTGCACAATATGTAATGGCAAATTCACGTTGATTCGCCTCATGTTCAGTTCGTCGTTATGATTTCAATGCACAGCGCACTGCGAATATACATGGAGTGATACGAATTCGAACTACCGATGTTTTTATTTCAGTCGGCGTGGCAAAAGTATTCATGTGTTGTATCACCCTTAACTTTTTATTTTGATTGATTGAAAAATACTGTAGGGAAAACTTCGTTATTTTTATTTTTTTTAACAGTTTTTTGACTCGCCCGTCGGACTACTGAGAGGAGGGTTTTGACTCGCCCGCCGCTGTTTTCACTCGCATTTGGCGAGCGGGTGACCGCTAAGGATAATCCCTGGTTGAAGGCAAATTTTTTTTAGGGGCTGTCCAAAGTTCTCAACATTTTCATGGTCGAACAAAGCTTACGATCGAGGGGGGGGGGGGCAGGTCGGAGGCCACGTACGACTTGAAAAGGTGTTTAAAAATTCTGATATTTCTAAGGTAAAACTACACTGGAAAAAAGTAAAAAAGTAAAAAAGTGAGAACATAAAATTCCATAAAATTCGGCAAGTTAAAATAAAGAATGAAAACGCATTTATAGTGTGTTTTTTGTCTTACTGAATACATTTCTCAATAGTTTTTTGAACATAAAAAAACACTTTGACATTTCTACTGTTCATATTTATTCATTTGCATACTTTCAATTGCTATGCCCTATTGGAAGGAAACCTCTGTTGATTTTTTGCCTTTTAAAAGAAATCCTCCGTAGCCAAGAATCAGCAAAAGAAGATTAAATATTCTGCAATTAAATGTAGGATTCGATTTAAAACAAAGGAAGACACCTCTAATTTTTTGGAGAATTAGAAAGAAAATGACTGCCGTGGTCCTGTCTGGAACCGCGTCATCGTGACTTCAATTCTAGCGCGCCATCCATCAGGCCAAATGTTTGCTGGAGTTAAGATGGTAATTTCATATATTACATGTATATGGCTTGCTTGTATAGGTGTGCAAAAGTATGAGCACCTTGGGAATATAAATGAACACACCAAAAGTCACATTAACTGTGAAAACTGATATTTCAGAGAAATACAACATGAAGACTCTGAAAGTGTTTTCATGTAACAATCTGTGTCATCACACACGTACGTAGCCTACACTTGAGTGATACCAAAAGTACAACCATGCTTTCATGCATGTTTGAAAGCGACATGCCCAGTGTGTTATGCAACACCATTCACATTGCACATACTACATGTACCGTACGTGTATGCATCAAAGATCGTACGAATTTTGGTATGCATGAAAACAACTCACAACTCATTCATGGCTGTTTAGCGTACGACTCATTGGGACCATAGAGCAAGGACTGACCAAGTATCGCACCAAACACAAACCCTCAGTTACTGGCAGTGACCATGTGCAGCGAAGATGAACTGAAAGTGCACAGCAGAGGGCAGAGACTCAATTCATGTAACAGCCAGACAACAGTCATTGAAAGCAGAAAGTGCACGCGAAGAAAAATCAGGCGAAAATGACGACGACCGGAAACTGTCTGAATCTACCCACGACTGATTCCACATTTTCCCGCATTTTTCCGCGTGAATTTGATGGTGCGGGAGCCGGTAGCCTTGGAGCCTATCCTGGACAAACATTTTTTGGAATCTTTGTCGTATAGATGCGTACGTGTAATGCACATTGGGGTGTACTGTAAACACAAGAAGACAAGGAACCATACTATCAATATGTTAACATATGATATCAATGTTTGCTGTGTTGTGAAGTAATACCGGAAGTGACATTATTTGCAGGGTGGTCGCGGTAGTTTAACAGTGCGGGGCTGTTCCCATTGGACTTTTCAGTATCCTTTATATTCTACCCTGGCTGCGTGGAAATCTTCCACGACCACTTTCCGCCTGGTAGTTTTACATCACGGTCGCCGTAAGTTAACATTGATGTCCCCATTGGACTTGATGTTGTAATTCAACTCTTATGGGAACTCGGCTTACGGCTTTAGCCTTCAGGGAACCTCAGTCTCAGCAAGATTTCATGTTCTGAATGCACAATGTTTTGACTTTCTTGATATTCTGTTCTGTCTTGGGTCAATTTTCATTTTTTTGAAACAGTAGGCCTATCATGTGTTAGTAAAATTGATGAAGTTACCATAGAAAAGGACAGTACGGTGTAATAGTAGGTCAGCCAAATGTGGAAAAGTACCCTGGAGAATAATTTCACGGCATTTTTTGGTAATAGCTGGCATCCATGCTAGATCCTTTCTTTGAACCATAACAAACAACATGTGGGTGGATGCCACCGTTAATTGTTACCCTAAATATACCTAATTTGCATAAATCTTTAATACCTGACATGTAGTATATTTTTGCCCTTATTTGGGTATATCTTTTATTTTATGATTTTTTGAAAATTTTATTTTGGTGATTCTACTTCACATCCTTACTTCAATAACATTTTCTAACGCATATAAGCGACTGAATAATTATTAGGATATAGTAACAATCCAAAATGGCTCCTATTATACCCAAAAGTTGGGCGCATTTTACCTTGCTCCAAATATCTCAAGAAGTCTTGCCAAACATCAGTATTGATGAGCTTCAAATTCACCTAGTTGCTTACTGGCACAGTTACCCTATTAAAACCTTATGGAAAATCATGTGAACAATGATAATAATATTGTGACATTTAGCCCAGCAAACAAAAACGGAAAACGAGGTGTCTGTTAATTAGCCTAATTAGTGAAGGGTTGCCTAACGTGAGAGACTTGAAAAAGTTCAAGGACATTCTCTAAATGATTAGAAAGAAAATTAATGGGAAAAAAAACATTTTGACACTGACATAATTATTACAAACATGTTTGGGTTTTTTTTTTTGGGGGGGGTGTTTCTTGACCTTATTTAAGTATCCCATGTTAGGCGACCCTTCTCCTAATTTAAGCCCAGTTTACGAACAGCAAGCTCGTTTCCCCCGTTTTTGTTTGCTGAGCTTAATACCACAATGTTATCGTGTTCACATGATTTCCCATAAGGGTTTTAATAGGAACACTGTGCCAGTAAGCAACTTGGTGAATTTGAAGCTCATCAGGACTGAGGTTTGGCAAAACTACTTGATGATATCTGGAGACAAAGTAAATGTGCGCAATTTTGGGTATAATAGTAGCCATTTTGGATCGTTACTATGTCCTCGTGATTATTATGTCACTTACATGCTTAAGAAAATGTTAAGTAAGAGGGTGTAACTAGAATCACCAAAATAAACTTTTCAAAAAAAAAATAAAAAAATTAAGAATATACCCAAATATGGGAATAAATATATTACACTACAGGGATTAACAATTTATGCAAATTAAGTATATTTAGGGTCAAAATTAAGGGTGGCATCCACCTACATTTTCTTCCCTATCCTTTGACTGATTGATCTGACATGGTTACCTGCTATTACCACAAAATGCCGTCCAAAATGTAATATTCCACTTTGGCTGGTCCACTATAAACACTTACGTGTGTAAAACAATAATTTTAGTCATTTTAGACATTGAGGTCACCAAGACCAGCAGATTCAAGTAACTATTGCTTGATACAAAGATGAAATGAATTTAGTACGCAAATGATTTCACATCTGGAAAATCATCTGACCTCTGAGTCTGAGCCTAAACGTTTTCTCACTGACTCCAAATCCAGATAGCAGCAGTGGTGAAGTTTTTTGACACAGGGATCATTCAGACATTGTTTTAAATTCCCTTAAAACAACGGTTGAACTCGATTCGGTGTAACTTTCTTGCTAAAACAATGTCTGAAAGCTTTTGTATTTCAACCGAATCGAGTTCAACTCGTCGTTAAAATGGCAACTGAAAACCCCTTGGAGGGAGGTTTTATCTCAAAACCAGAACAACTTTATTTCCTAAAACGATGTAAAATGGTTTTAGCTAAAACGCTTCCCGTTTTAGCCAGCACAGTGACCTGGAGTTATGTAACGCCTTCTCAGAGGCGCGCTTTTGTATTCAACAAACAATGTACTGTGGGCTGCATGGTGGGCACAAAGCACCCATGAATCCTACTGTCAGTCATTCATGAACAAAAATCCAACTTCAAGTCCAATCTCTGCAAGATTTCTGACCACATGGTCCAAGTTTCACATCCTTTTGGTGCTCACTCGCACACACGATGACAAACATGTAGATGCCAACGCAACAACCGCTAACCGGAGCACAATTATCATAATGCTCTGATACCTGGCAAACCTTGGCGCTGATTGGTCAATATTGCAACGTTAATATCGCATGTATTTTCACATGACTGACATGTGCGGGGAAGTTGATGCAGTAAACCTGGAGTGAAATCTGTTCAATTCTTAATGGTGTGTGGTTTCGAACACTGGTTTTGAACAACTTTTTACAACAGAATTATGTCTTTTTGCACCACGAAAGGTACAGAAAATAGCCCCCAAAATGTAAACACAAACGGTGAAAGGCCGATGTACGATACGAAATCGCCGCGGTGGATTTAAGTGTGACTATCGTAATGTTTACAGCGTGCCACACTATGACTGGCCGAGGCTAGGATGCCAAACACGGCAATACATCACGACAGTGAGAGGCTCAGACCACATGTACTGTAGCAAACTGTAAAAATGGAAGAGTGAAGGCTCTTTTTTAGCATGCGGTTTTTGCCGAGGCGGATGTTCTACTTGACCTTAGAATCTGAGATAAACCACTTCGAGTTGAACTTGCTATACTTAAAAGATGTCTGAACACTCGATATGTAGTTTTATTTTCACGACGGACCTCCCATGGTGAGCGACCATTTTAGTTAAAATGGTGTCCGAACATATCCCAACAGTGATTGAAAAACCCAAACCCGAACAAAACATGAATAACATAATAAACCAAAGAGTAGCTATTAGTTTGGCTACCAACATGTACATGTGTATGGTACATGTACTGGAAATGACCAAGATGGCTTATTAAGTATATTGTAATCAGAGGTCAAAACAGGGCAGCGAAATTGAAATATGATTAGGCCGGGGCAGAGGTGAGGTTTTCTGAGTACACTCAGTAAGGTGACCCTTGGTGGCCCTATCATATATTGGTAGATTGCCCGCTGGCACACAGTCAGCCCACAGAGACATGACTTTTCCAGGTTTCAGGTGACAGGAACTGAACAAAGGGCTGTGTTAGGCCATGTCTGGAATGGGTTGTCTCAGCGCTACTTGTAGACTACAAAGAACATTTAAATTATTGTCAAATAAAGTCTTTTATTTAGAAATTGCCAGTTACATGACAATCTGTTACAAGCAATTAGAATGACAGTTTATTCAAATTGTGAAATTGCCATCCGGCCTGAAATAGATGGGCAATACAGGACGTCCTGAAAAAAATGGTGCATGTAAACCCCTCGATTTTTGCTAAGTTACAACCAAAATTTTCTGCAGATGTTTACACCATCTTCAAGGTAATAGATTTAGCTTGAGAATACCGTTTGTTTCATTGAGATTGCTTTTGTAAATCCAAAGATATGTTTGAATAACGGCAAAGCCTAGAAACCCATTTTGTGCCACTTTCTGTGAAGCAGTTAAAATCAGTATAAACCAAATCGCTTTACTGTTAGTGATTTTAACATTTTTAAGCAGAGTGTGCAATAGTTTTTTATATTTACATGTAATTGAACTCTTTCATTGAAGATTTAAAGAAGTGAACCTGTCTGTACTATTACATTGTTTCAACATAAGAACAAAACCCTATATTGTCGTGTTAATGGAATGTTTGTCTTACACCCATAGGGATAATCTTATCAAAAGAGCCATACTGGCATTGTCTGATCTTTGAAGCACTCGCTTCCTAAAAGTGGCACAGAATGGTTTTTTTTTGGCTTTGCGGTTATTCAAACAAATCTTTAGATTTACAAAAGCAATCTTAATTAAACAAAAGGTATTCTCAAGCTAAATCTGTAACCTTGAAGATCGTGTAAACATTTGCAGTAACTTCCAGTTGTAAATTGGCGAAAATGGCGGGGTTTACATGCATGGGACACCCTACAAGTGATGAAATAAAGGTTTTGTTGTTTCTCCATTGGTTTAACCTACATGTATGGTCTAATCACCTTGTAGTTTCCATTTTAGTGCCAAGATAAAACCCTTCAAGGTGCAAGAATTGATGTTGTCCTGATGATCGTTCAAACAAATATGATTAATTAATATTCATATCAAATTAACCTTGTTTTCTTTATTGTATGCTCTTACTAGGGATACGAACACTCACACAGTACAACCTATGGCAACATGAATGACAGAATAATGGAAGGACTTCCAAATAGTTATACTCATTCATCTTCAGCTATGTCTTCAATAATGGGTATGTACATGAACATGTAGCTTAGTTTTTAATCTCCCTGAAATGGATTAAATTTAAATATTTCAGCAGATGTAATGGAACGTTTTTGTGCTTAGAAGTATGTGCACTAAATATGTCCATTCTAATCATCAGGTTGCTTCCAATACAGTCACTATGCACTCCATATGTATGTATGTTTTCAATACTGACAATATTTTCTGAAATAATTATATCTACATGTATATTGTACCTGTTTCAGACTAGCATTTTAGAGTCTCTCCAATCCACACTGGTCCTGAGATATGAAATAAGTTCAACTTGTACAGGGCTCGCGAAATCAGCTGCCCGACGTCCCAGGACAACCAAAATTTTCTGTCGGGACAACCAAAAGTTCCAGGTTGCCAGTAGTGCTGCAACTGATCAAGTTCGGTTCAGTTTGGTTCGGTTAGGTTGCGGTTCGATTTTTTTCTCTCCGAACTTCGGTTTGGTTTGGCTTCGGAAGTGCATACATAATGTACATGTCCATACAATGTATTGGGCTATAATGAACAAACATGTGTACCGTGCACGTCTGACAGAAATAGGCACCGCAATTTCCACATGCTATCCAAGGATGAATCTTATTTTTGTTGTGTAAACAAAATTACGTTATAATTTGACTTGATGAAGTTGAAAAATGAACATCGTAAATTGCTACCTGTGTTACCTATCGCAGCCCTATCCGGCCCGGCAACTATGGGCTATCGTGTAGTCTAGGGCCCATTTCCTAACTTAAGGGGACAAAACAGGGGCCCTATGCTACATAATGCCCTATGCCATAAAATTTCCCCACACGTGCTGACGGTTTTCCCGACGAGTTCCGTCCCGTCCGAGCATGCCCTGATGAGCACTAAAAACTTGCTTCGTGGCAATAATTGCTGATTAGTTTTGTCCTAGGAACAAACAGGTCCTTTTACTGTGGCAAACTTATGAAACCATGATTAATTTTAGTAATAAGCTGACAAGTAGCTACCGTAGAAAATAATAACTTTTCGATTCGCGACTCCATAATGAATTCTCATTCAGCTGTGGAAAATGTGGACGGATCCATTTTGTAAAGGGTAGTTTTACCCTCTTTTGAGCGATTACATCGTTTTTTCGTATTCATTCTTTACGAAAACAAAATATATTGCGAAAATTACGAACTATGGGAAAGGTTTCAGACTCCATAAAAATTATTTTTTTACTTCTGATATGGTGAAAAAAAATGAAAATTCTGGTGAATTTTGCCAAGGAAACCCCCCCCCCCCTTCACAAACGTACTACGTCACCCTGGAACAAGGCGCAGCATGCAGGGCCAGATACTGACCACGCTGGATGAATGCAATGAGCATCGCTTTTCATTGAGAAAAGGTGCGTACGATTGTTTCAAAGCGTATCGGCCCGATATCCTATTTGTATGCCTGGCTAGAATTCACTGCAAATAATGAAGATGAATGCGGTGATTTGTCAACACGGTAAATTCAATCACCCGTGCATTTTATTTTTTGCCCTTTCATTGCAAGCATTAGCATTCCTAGCGCTATCAACAAATACTTGCCGAACTCTTCCGAACCGACATTTGGGTTCGGTTCGGTTCGGTTCGGGTTCGGTTCGGAAGGCCAATGTCGGCTATATTTAGTTCTGTTCGGCGGTTCAGCTGTAGCACTAGTTGCTAGCCCGACGGGCAACCCCATTTTTTTCACCAATACTCACACATTTTTACACTTTATTTAATTTAGTTCATGGGATTTTTTAAAGTTCCAGAATCCCATACAAGTGCACAACGTCGAACAATAATCATGATAATATCAACATTTTGACTCAGCTGCTACGCTATCGCCATTTGATGTTGGTAATCTACGCATAACCAATAATGGGTACCAGCCAAAACAGAACAGCAGTCAATCTCAATCTGTACATGCACGGTCCGGCTGCATCATGCAGTAACGTTTCGCGTACGTAATGTGTGTAGGCAGCGGATGCATGCGTGTGTGTACGTGTGTTTCCAATAATATTATGACTGGACCACTGTACACTAACCAGTGCGGCACAGAGTGCGGGCACCGTACACACGCATGCAGCCACGGTCGGCCACTGCCGGCCACACAGGCTTGCAAAATGGCGATAGCGCAGCAGCCAAGTATAAAATATTTTGTACCGGGACGTCGGACAGCCAATTTTGTGAGTCCTGAGCCACTTCAGGTAAAGCAGCCATGTACATTATTAGTATTTGGCCTTCAGTTTGGGGCAATATTAAAAGTTCTTTATTGGGCAACTGAAAATGAAATTCGGGCAACCAGATTTCAATGCCCGAAGGGCAACTACACTTTTAAAAATTTTGCGAGGCCTGATGTAGAATAGTTAGGAGCTGACTTTATGTGCAAGACAAGATTGACTGTTCAACTCAGTGCTGATTGATCGATACAAAATCGTTAACTAATTAGAACATGGTCAAAATGGGGCGTTATCAAATGCACACATGTAAACAAAATGCTACATGTAAGAAAAATCGAAATTAGGTTATCAGGTACTCTCAAACTGTTAAAAAAAATTTCTCCACGGGCCTGATAAAACATCAAGCAGATAATTCAGATCAGGACTTCAATTTCCTTGGAATTATTAACGATGTGCAGGCGTCAGGCTGACGCAACATGTGGATATGGTGGCCTGCCCTAAGGAACATCTAAAATGTCAATTTCTTTTAAGACATTGAGACTTTCTTTTACGACATCGTACATTTCATGACATATCATATTTTTCCACAACCTTGCAATTTTCTTTCACAGCATCAAAATTTGTATACACACAATTTTGTTACAGTACGTACTCCTACCGGTATAATGTAAATTGTTCGTGGCAAATTGATACTATCTAAAGGTACCGGTATATTCCGAAGGGCTTGGTCAAAAGAAATTCCACACAGTGTCTTACATTTACGGACAAACCTATTTTGAAAACCCTGTTTGTTTCATCGGGTGCAGCACTGATTTTTGCCTTGCCTACGGTACATACGGTATGTACATGTACGTATTTCCCAGCAGTGAATAAAGCCATTGCGTTTTGTGCAAATCTGTCACATTAACTGCAGATCAAATAAAGTGAAAACTCACTGTTGGATATGTCCCGCACTGATTTCAGGCACACACAATTCCAGTGTGCGCGTTTGAGGAAACTTTTTGCCCAGAAATACATGTGCATGTGACTGGAAAATTGTCGTTATTCCAGTCACACATGTTACCATAATTTAGGACCAAAATTTTATACCCTGAAATTCCATCGCACTGAAGTTCCACAAAAACAGCAAATTTTCAAAGTGTACATGTACGTACACGTGTACGTACACGTGTACGTAGAACTTTGTGTGAACATTCTTATTCTATTTTTAACGACCTTTCCATCGAGTATCATTCCGGGTAAATGCATTTTCGAGCCCAAATGAGCACATTGTCACAAAAGTGCTCCTTTCAACTCAACAGCATACCTTTTCCCTTACAATAAGTTACATGTGGGGTTCATTCCATATGAGCTCAACCATGGTCCAGAAATCTTTGACAGCCACCAACTCAATTTCTGTCAGTACCTTTCTATGTATAATGAACACTTGTGTGCAAAATATTAGGCCAGAACTTCTGAGGGTTTCTGAGATATGGCCCTCCAAAAATAGGGTGTCACGTTATTTTTGCACTCGCAAGTCACCAACGTTAATTTATAGGGTTTTTGGAGGCCAACATCTTGGAAACGAATCAGAGATTTGTGCTGAAAATACATACATACTACATACATGTACGCAAATGAAAACCTCTTTTGTATAACTTGAAAAGTTTTCCTGAAAATCAGATATGAAACTTGGGTCTTTTTATTCTTCATTGAGTGATCCTCAAGCTGATTGTTTTAAAAATTCAACAAGTCACAATATCCTTACCTTAATTTTCTCAGTACTTCCTTATGGTATATATTTGTACACTAGAATCTTAATTTGTAAAGCGTTTTCTATAACTCAATCTGGTACCGGTACTTACAGGAGAAAATGTTCAAATCTGTCCCTTTTTCATGTGATTCCGTTACTGAAATTTCCCAAAAAGTTTTCTTCCTGTTACTATCAAATCTCTTACTTCATCTACCTACCAAGATTCTTAAACACTAACTTCAGTAATATCTTTACTAATTCCAAAACAGCGGTAACGGAATTACATTTGGTAACAGAATTACATAGATAACAGAATTACCCAGCTTCCATTTCTGAGGCTAGAGTAATTCTTTTTGTTTGTTTGTTTAATAATCAATCACAGGATGGTATAATACATTTTTTTATTTTCAGTCCAATTTTAGACACTTTGGTCCAATGTTTATTGGGGGTATTTTTCATGTTTTTCCCTCCGTTTTCAGGTTTTCATTCCTTATGAAAATCATCTTTGTGTTCCAATTTTGCACACAGGGATGTTTATTATAGTTTATTATGGTGGAGTTTCATGTGGAATGTTAACACACTCATTCAGATAATCTGATATTCAAGAATGTCAATTTTTCAGGTAAAATTTGTTAAAATGTTGTAATTCCGTTACCAACCCATCTGCTTTTCCGGGGGAAAAATTTCAAGGATGGAGTATACATGTAAATGTACATGGTAAAAGAAAAACCAAAATACATGTACCGATACATGTAGTCTTGGGAGACTGAAAATACAATGATCATAAACAAATGTTAGCTTTCATTGGGTAACCAAAACATTCTGGATATTTTCAAGATTAAACCATTTCAAGTAGGTGCTAACCTAATGATAGTTGTCATAATTGTTCAGCTTGACATCCAGTTGACTTGTATAATGGCTCTTTGTCAGCACACCTACAGTATATTAATTTTTTAAAATCTGATATAACAATTGGAATTTTTCAAGAAATTCCGTTACCACTAGCATTTCTGGTAAAAAAGGCAAGTATATCCAAAACATCCTGCTCGTAAATAGCTGACACCATATGCTATGAAAATTAGTATGAACAATA